TCTCTGTCTTTCTTCTTCTTCGTCTGTGGGCGTTAGGGGGCACGACAACCGCCCCAGGGCACTGCCCTGCGCCCTCGCACGTCTGGCATGTCCGATTCAGGACCCAGAGGCTCGATGCACCCGCACACTCGGCCAGAAAGGTGGCCGAGGCAAAGCCTTGAGGGCCCAAGTACTACCTGATCCCCCGATCCCCAATCCCAGCCTTCCCCCCTGCAGCATATTGCCAGCTATGAGTTTCCTTGCATCTAGAGCTTATCAAAATGCTGGTGAGAAGAACTGGCATAGCCTCCACGACAAAAGCCTGGAACCCTTCTGGCAGCTCACGTGGCCCAGCTGGTGGGACTCCCTAGCGCCCTACTCTGGCAGGGTATGAAACCGTACTTCCACGCTCGGCCTCTCTCCCTCTCTCTCTCTCTGAATTGGCGGTTCCCCGCCGGCCGTGAAGGCCTCCCGTGTTGTTAGTTCGCAAGGTCGGTGTAAGACAGGCTGGTCCCGGCATTCCACAATCAGCAACAGCATAAGTACAGCAAACAACAGACCAGTCACGGCACCAGGTACAGTAGGAAGAAATTTTCCGTGTGGTTCCACAGGGCCCCAACACCGGAATTATGATACATGGCCAGTTCCCAGTGGTAGTGAGGAAGGCTTCAAGATTGCATGCTCACGACTAAGCATAAGGCCATGCACTGGTTCCTTGCGCTCATCTAGCCAGTCGTCGTACTACACTGCGAGTCCATGGACATGGGATGTAGGGACACGGCCCCAAGCAAGAACGGTCCGCAAGTCCTGGTCTGCACCGTCGAGGACACGGTTACAGACCATACTAGAGCATAACTGGCCACCAAGCCTCACCTCTCTCTCTCTACTTCCTCTTACTCATACGAGCTTCCATTTCTGCAGCCCCCACAGTCTCCCGTGTTCTCCCATCCTCCCAGCGGGCCCCGCCTTCGGGCGAAGACGCCTCGGCCACGCCGCAGGTCGCTGCACCTTTGGCCTAAGCACTGATTTCAGCAAACCCGCCTTGGGAGCTTTTCCCACTGGCTTCTAGCTTCCGGAACTTGCAAAAGCTTCAGGGAAACAGTGACTTCCTTGCCACGCCAACAGCCATGGCACTTCAAAAAGTTGCACGTCTGCAGAAAACTGTTGCTTTCCTCCCACAACAAAGCCCATTTAATGAGACACAGTAGTTGTGAACAACACTTGGACGCCACCGAGAACAGGAGCTTCGCACTTTGGAACAAGCAGTTTTTTGTCGCACCTGCAAATTACATTGCATCTGCCGCAGAAGGAGCAAACAGGCAGCTCCCCTGACTGCCACGCTGCCACGGCTGGGGACAGGCTGAGGGTGTTCAGTTAGCTTTGTCGCCAATCGGACGGAATCGCTCGACATGCATGGATCGCGTTTTGAAGTTACGAGAAGCATCTAACAAAGGGCAAACGCAGACATGTAAAACTTCTGATGCCTACGTCACAAGAGCAGCTGTGACCATGTAAATGAGCGTTTGCAGCATCAAGACCCAGGCGGTAGAGCCCTGGATGTAGAAATGGAGCCACATGAGCCACCTCATGGTGAAGCGCTTTGACCCACGGCCCTGCCCAGCTTTGGCCGCTGCCAAACGCGTGATTCCAGTTCTGCGCTGGAACTTACAGCGTGTTACAGCACGCAATATGCTTCTGAGGCAGCTGGGAGCGCCGCTGACATGGAAGCCACATGAAAGCTGCATGGCAGAAAGGGATCTTGTGCTAGGTAATCTAGATGATGTGCAAGCGTCTTGGTCAAATGCGAGGATGCTGACTGCTAAGCTGCTTCGAGCTACGCTGAAGAAGGCTCAAAAGGCTGCAGGCCTAGATCCAAGAATTCACAGAAGTTGGCGCGAGACTTCATTCGACAAAGGCGCATGCACGCTGCATGCATGCTGCATGCATCTTCTGCCTTGAAGGTGGGTGGAGGCTCGCCCGTGTTGCCTAAGCGGTACCACTCCAGGCGTCTTTGCTTGTCCATCCGCCTCACAGTTGAAAACGTGACAGATAGCCGTGATCTCTCCATGCCCCGAAGCCCAGGCCGGAGGGCATCGTCATAGAGGCGATCAAAGCATGTGTAATCCGGATCAGACATTGTAGTGCCCAACTCAGAACACAAGGCAACGTCAAACGTGAGTCGCTGCAACTCGCTTCTTCAACGATCTTGAGGCTCTGGCCCCAGCTTCTTCAAAGAGTTTTTTGATCACATCCCCTTGCTCACAGATGCATACGGAAAATCTCTGTACTACCTGCGTCCGCACCTAAACCCTTCTTCTCTGCAAGCTCCATGACAATCCGGAGCTGCTCACGCACCTCATTCAGCGGTCTCTTTGCCCTCTGCTCGTGTGCCTCCACTTCGCGGCGTTCACAACCCTGTCACATTTCGCGCCTCACAGGCTACAAATCGCAAGCATCCAAAATAACTGACGCGATCGGAGCACTCTTGTTTCGCTGCTGATTGAAAAGTTGCAGGTTGATATGACAGAGAAGCCTGCAGTGAGGAACTGCAAGGCTTTGTGGGGGCAGTCGCGTTCAAAGCTGCAACTTTGGCTTGAGTTCCGCATGGCGCAACGCAGTCACGTGGCAAACATGGTCTTTCCCGATTTAACCAGCTAAGCTGGGTGTGGACAGAACAACGCAGACAAACGTACCTGCTTCAACATCTTCAGCAATCGCATCTGCTCCTCATTGAGCTTGTCATTCTCCTAACGCGTGCAGCGTGCACGTGTCGGAGAAGAAAAATCTAGCACGCGGCCTCTTGCAAAGCAGCGATCTGGGCGTCGCGTTTCTTCAACTTTGCCTGTGGTAGGCTCGAGTACATTGCTGAAGAACAATATGCAAGCAACAAATGCATCTCTCATATCGCGCCACTCTCGGCTGCGAATCGCTGGTCTGAGCCCAGCCTACCCGTAACATCCCTTGATATACTTGGCATGTCTCGCAGGCCTTCAACTTCTCGAGCTCTGCAGCTTTTGCCCGTAAGTCTTCCAGCTCCGCCAACTGGCAGGACAGCAGCAACAAAAATCAAATGTGTTTTGGGGCTCGTTGGATTTTGGGGTTTTCCCTTCACAGAATAAACATCTGAGTGGACGGGACTATTGACGTGTTGATCCCCGGAAATGGCTCAGCTGTATTCAATGCGCGGACACAACATACGTGCTACGTGGTGACTTTGCAAACTGTAGCCTGGCATCCACCACAGCTGACAAAGCGGAAACGAAGCACCCTTTTCTTGTAAAAGTGTACCTGGGTGATCGGCAATGGCAATCAAGCTACCTGCGCAACCACTCATACACGTCCTGTTTTCTTCAATTGCGGATCTGCCACGAATGCGGTCAAAGCAGATGTACATTTACTTTGTGACGTAGACTATACAGGATTTGGAGGATAGCAAAAGGGGGGCAACAATATTTGACCTAGACCATTCAGGATTTGGAAGATAGTCAGGGGGGCCCAATAGTACTTAACCTAGACTAATCAGGATTTTCAAGATAGCAAATGGGGGCCCAATACTTTTTGAACTGCGAAAGCTTCTGTCGAAGCCGTCTGCACCAGCAGCCTATCAATACTCATTACGGTTTGCTTTTTGGGTTTGTGAACAACATTAATCCATTCATTCCCTTCTACTCAGAGCTTTTGGCTGAACACGCCTATATAGGGAGGTGTTGTCCATCCACATGAGTGATGGAGAAACATGGGTCATCCTAACATTGGAGGCATTTGGAATCTGGAAAAAGGAGTTATCGATACACTCCGAGGGGCACGGTCTGAGGTAAGAAAGGAGATTCTGTTCGAGGCCTCTGCCATTACAGATTCTGCCCAGTGCAAACGTGGGCGCCCTACCCGATTTGGGCCTCTAGTATAGTGGTATTGGCCCGAGGGCATAAATGTAGCGGAGAATTCAAGAGAATGAGGATGTCGGAATAGATGGCCTAAAAGAGTGAGCCGATTCTGTGAATAAATTTGCGAAGGGGTGATAATTTTGGAGGAATCAAAGGAGAGGGAGGGAAGCTAGATAGGCATTAGAACATTCCTCTCCAGTTGGATTAAGGACTCTATGACTCTATGATACAAAGAAGATTTAACGCGAAAAATAGGCGAAGAGATTTGAAGTGGACGTGATTTAATTTAGTCAACTGGGGAGGGGTGAGCTGTGAACTTTCCACCGCGTAGAGTAAAATCGATTGGATGATAGATCGATAAACCGGTAATTTCCAAGAGGGGGGAAGGGCCTGATGGGCTAACAAGGACGGAGAAGTTTGGACGTGGACATGGCCTGAGAAACGCGACGCGAAACATTTTTCCGGTTGTTGGAAAGAGAGTCAAGATAGACGCCAAGGTATTTTACTTGGTCCGAGAGCGGCACGGGTTGTAAAAGAGCAGAATGACCATGACAGCGGGTGCAATCGCACGGGGAGGAGGGTGATGGAGAGAAAAAGATCCTTTCATCAGAATGTAAGCGTAGGTGAGCACATTTATCGAAGTTAAGAGTAAGTCCACGGACATTGGCCTCGTGTTGGAGGAGATGAAGCAGACGGGTAATTTGTTCGGCGGAATTAGACATAACAGCGGTATCGTCAGCGTACTCTGGGTCCCACAATGGGGATGCTGCGTTAATGACTCCGGAAAGGAAACCAAACTGGGAGGTATATGAGGTCTCGACGCCGTGGAAAAGATGAGAAAGGACAAAATTAAGTAGATAAGGAGAAAGAGGACAGCCTTGACGGAGGCCATGGGTTCGAGGAAAGATACCAGAGATCTTGCCGGCGTCCCGAACGCGGAACTTGGGAGAACGATAAAGGGAGAGAATGGAATCGATAAAGAGCGGAGGGACGCCGAAAAAGCGAAGGGAGGATTCTATAGCCGCAAAGGTGACGGAGTCAAAGGCTTTGGACCAATCGAGAAATAGGACACGAAGAGAGTTCTGCTGTCTTTCATAAATCTCAAGGATCCTACGCATAATATGAATCGGCTGGTTAGTGGAGCGCTTTGCACGCAATCCAAACTGAGTAGAACGAATATTTTCATCAAAATAATGAGACAGACGCTTCTGTATTAAGGAGGCAAAGATCTTGTACATTGAGTTGGTGAGAGAGATAGGACGATAATTAGAGAGATCACCCGTATCGTGTTGGATTTTCTTGACCAGCATTACTACCTCGGATAAAGCCCAGGAGTCGGGAACAGTGAAGGTGGAGAGACAATGATTGAAGTGATCTAAAAGAAAGAGTTTTAGAATATAAGGGGAACCCTTAATCATATCTGCAGGAATTGAGTCAGGACCGGGCGCGCGGCCTGTGCTGAGTGACCTGAGTACGATATTGAGTTCTGCTGTTAGGGATTAAAGGTTGAGGATCGGGAGCCTTCCAAACTTTCTCAGAGAGACATTCGGCGAACGTAGTAGCACGGAGGTCCTTAGAGGAGAGCTTTCCATGCATGTCAAAAAGATTGACTGAGCGGGGGGTGAAAGGCTTACGAATAGAACGAGCAGTTCGCCACTGAGCGAACACTGCTCTTCGAACAGTCTTCTATGTAAAGCTCGTTAAGGTTCCGTCTCATGTAGGTATCCCTGGTAATGAACTTGCTGACTCCTTGGCCAAGCGTGGCGTCACCTCCTATGGACAAACGGGTCGCTTTTCTTCTCGTTCTCCTTTGAATCCTCCGCAGCTAGGTTATAACCCTGATATTTGGCTCTCTAAGACTCCTCAGGGACAATCCGACTTTCTTTGCTCACTCCTTCTCTCAAAGAAATCCCTTCTCCCAACGTTACCCGTCTCCGCTAAGAAACCCTGGATCTCCTCTTCCACCCTAGACCTTATCACACAATTCCAGGATTGTATTGATCTCACTATTCCTGAAATTAAGTCTCTCCGCAAGCGTATCAACAAATCAGCCTCTCGTGATAAAAAAAGAAATGCTGTTGCGCTAGTTCCACTAGTTGGTGATGAGTAGAGGGGGGCTGATCCCCGCGTAAGGAGCGAATGACATATGTAGAGTCAATATGGATAGCAACTGCGGAGCCGTGAGGAAGTCCGGAGTAGTAGAGGATGTAATCAAATAACTCAACGACGGCTCTCATTTCACCTGTGTTGTTGGAGCCATCCACTGGATTTAGGATATTTTCGTCTAAAGGGGAATTCTTGACCTGACCGTGGGAGCAAATCCAAGAACCGTCAACTGCGGAGTGAGTTCCTGTATAAGAGGTGGAAAGGTGTAGAGCAAATCCCCAGCCGGCGCGGTTATCAGGACCGACAGTTCGGTTATTTGGACAGGATCCGTCGGTGTAAGCAATAAGATGAGTGGTGGTACGTGCAAGGGAGCAAGTGGAGTTGTTGGTGCTAGCAAGAAGAGAGGGTTCTACAGCTTCATAAAAGTCGGCGGAGCGCGAAAAATCAAACTTTGGATCTGAACGAGTGGGAGCTTGAGGTACGAAGGAGCTAGCATATGAGAATATAAGAGGGAGATGACGAGCGTTAATGAGTTGTTGGAAACGCGAACCTTTGAATTGAAAGTCACAGAGTACAGGATGGGTAACAGAAGCAAAGTCAAGTGTGGTCCAATCAGAAACCAAAAGATCATCAAGGAAATCAGTGGCGGAGGTCATTTCTTTATATGAGACCAGTTTAGAAGAGGGAAGATCAGAGTAAGTTTGAGGGAGGAGAAGAAGATGAGATTGCATAAATTCCATGAGGTAAACAGCATTATCTGTATCAGGATCAGAAATGCTTTGTCTTTTACCCCAGACTTGGGGGCCTATATGATCATGGTCATGATCTAAAGAAGAGTCAAGTCTAGCATTGAAATCTCCAAGAATAATAAGGTGTGAAGAGTTAGAACGCTCAGAGATAATAGAATCAAGGTGTGACCAAAAATGTTCTTTTCTGGACTGATCTTCAGTAGAATCTTCAACTGTACTAGGAGCATAGATTGAGAAGACAGTAATAGGATGAGGGTTAGTAAGTATGAAGGGTGATTTCACAAATACGTGGGGAGTGCACTAAAAAATTATGAGCGTGTGGCCTAAGAGAAGGAGAGACAAAGAACCCAACACCATGGTGTTTAGAACTGGAAGACCCAGAATGGAGGATTTCCCAACCAGATTTGCAAAAAGAGGGGACTGATTCACATTTAGTTTCCTGGACTGCCAAAAGATGAATTTGTTTGGAATTCATTAAGGAAAGGATTTGATCATACTTGGCAGTTTCTCTAAGGCCTTCAACATTCCATGTGGCTAACTGAAGTTGAAACCCTGTAGGGAGTGGCACTGAAACAGATTTCTGTGAATATCGAAGTTGGTTATAACCCTGAGGAAAACTACGGGACTGGGAAATGAGCCTCTTACATGCTGCTGGCTTTGGACAAATCAGGGGATTAGGATTTTGGCCTCCGCGTGTCCGCAGATAGGCATCCTTGCATGAGGACTTCCAACGGAATAGAAAGAAGTGTTGGCAAGACGACATGTTATGTTTTGTCCTTGACTGGATATCAGCAGCAGTTCCTCCACGCCGTGGTGAGCCGTGTCTTGACGTTATACCCACGTCACCTGGAGAGCAAAAGTGCTTTCGGCGCTGAAGTGCCTGGCATCAGTGCATAGAGTCTGGAGATGTCATGTTGACATACAAGACTTTTGGTACAAAGGTACACCCACCTTGCAGCAAGGGCTCAAGGTGACCCAAAG